ATACGTATTTAAATATAGGTACATAATCTGATTTTGAATTCTTTGAATTGTATTTTTACTACAACATTGAGTATACTAATACAATTACATATTTACAATTGCAAAAATACACGTAGGTATATGTGACGGCAAAACTAGCATAACAAAATGATTTTTTGTACTTTTGAGCCGGAGTATTTTTTAAACGTTCATTTTTGATTGAGTGATTATAATGTAATTATACGAAAATAGAAGCCAAAACGCGCATTTTTCGAGTGTGTTTTCGTGTAAGAATTTGTATTAACTAAACACTGTAGGTATACAAAAATTTTGTGGGATTTTAATATAAATTATAAGAAATAAAATTGTTTTTGAATTATTAATCGTTAAATTTAAATGGTTTTTAAATAATATAAATAGTTGGTAAGTGTTATACACTTGGGTAAAATGCGTTCTACGTTTTCCTTATAAATTTCTAAAGTGTGATTGAGAAACATTTTATTGTATGGAATTCGTGTTATACTGGACAAAAACTACAATTACTTTCTAATAAATACCGTTATTTATATTGCTCTATTTGTTGGCTATAACTAACACTGTAAACGTATAACACTTTAAATATATAATATTGCCAGCTACATTTGTACTCTGCCTACACAAAAGAGAAGATAAATGGAGTAGTTACACATATTGTTTTAAATAGATGGCATCGCAATTTCAGATGGAAATCAAATGTCATATGTTTAATATGACATTTTTAGTTTAATAGCTTAGTTTTTATTCCTGTGTATTTAGGAGTCCCATTTACAAATATTCTGGTATTGACGTTCCCCTATTGATGATTCGCTTTGAGAATTTTTCAAACTGAACGCTTCCATTAACTACTCCTTCACATATAAATAAAGAAGTTCATAAGTAGTGGTATTCTAATATAGTGTACGTGTATAGTCTACACTAGTATACGTGTAGAGTTGTCAGTTAAGTGAAAAACAATTAATATGCATAAATTGTTTTGTTATAAAAATATGATCTTAGTGTTAAAATAATTCTTGTGTAATTTCAGTCTAAGTACGCCATTAGTATGTTAGTTTTATAAGTATAGATACTAAAGGCATCATTCAAAACCCTTCCAAAACATATTTTAATTATATAAATATTTTCTAATTACAATTTTTAATAATTCCTTACTTTACCGTGCTAATTATTACTTATTTCTTTCGTTTTTTACAAAACCATAGATTTCATAGTAGACTGAGAAGGACTACTACCAAGAAGATAGATATTAATTGCATCATTAACATAAGTAATAATGATTTCATTTCGAAGTTCTTTCTATTAACACTATATGTGTACATTCACGAAGTCAAAATTTTCAATTTTTAGCTGCTATCATTTATTAATTTCAGTTTTCATCAAAAATATCAAAGTAGTCAGCTACCCGATAGAAAATTATGCACAAAGAAAAATTATTTTTTTTCTATAAATAAAAATACGGAAACGTAAATTATTTTTTATATATTATAAATTGTATAATATAAAATAAAACTGCATGAGCTCCTTGTATGTACAACATAATGTAATAATCGTACATACTTATGTAATGTGTTCGCTTGTGCTTAAAATGCACTTAAAAACAGTATTTTTTTTATTGCAACAAAATGTTGCCACGAAAATAATGTCACTTGTTTTTCTGTTTAGGAATGATAGAAATGTATATTGGGATGGTCATTTATTTCAGTACCAATTAAGTTTTCATATATTTAGCGATTGAAGAATAGTAGCATCTCTCGTACAATTGTTAGTCAGTTATTCAAACAAAATGCAAGAGTCTTGTTGAATTTGTAATTAAAAATTATTCTGATTACAAAATTTTCAAATTGCAGCATTAAATTTTAATTAAAAATTATTGTCAAAATAATCAAGAACTGATAAACTTACCTTGGGCATTTTATAATATTTAGTATTTAAAAAAAAAAAAACAAATTATTCATTTAGTGTAAAACAATAATTTACACAAAAATAAACCAAATATCATAAACCTGACCTGATTTGGTTTCGCATACAGATCCAGACAAAGAATTAATGGTTTTTAGTTGTGATGCAAATAAAATGACATTGTTAGTGCGATAACCCGAATACAATCAAATTATTAAAACTGGTCCTTCTAATAATATATGAGAATAGCATACAGAGTGTAATTTATAACAACTTGACCATTGAATATAAAATTCCATTATTGGGTCTGCGCGTTATTATCTACATAATTTATTAGGTGTATGTGTGTGTATGTGTCTGTGATACTCAATTACCTTATTTTGTTTGCTATTTTCTTTCTTTGTTGGTTTCTTGATTTCTTTTCTTCTATAATGGCAATTTTTTTTTTTTAAAGGAATCATAAATTTTATTGTGATATGTGGTTATTTATTATGACTTCAAGACATAATGAAGAAATATTAGAGGATAAAAAAAGTCTTTTCTTTTTTAAATTTTAGAAAAAATAAAATTTTAAAAAAATTAAAAAATAAGGTTTTTGGTTCCAATACACTGTAAGTAGTTAAATTTAAAATATCAAGAGGCTCTAATAAAAGAGAACAATAAATTTTAACTTTGGTAACGTGCCTTAAATGTCACGTCAGGAAATGTGCTTTAAATTTGGAAAATATTGACACTTTCCAGAATGTGAGTCGGTTTAGTTTTCAATTTGTGTCTCCAGACATTAAACAAAAAAATTGTAGTGATTGCAATAAATTATTTCACATAGGCCAAAAGAAAGTTCAAATAGGCCAAGAGTTCAGTTACCGTATAAGAGCATTTAATTAGGGAAAAGGAGGAAAGGGCCAGGTATTAATAAAAATTTTACAGTGGTAAGGAAAAATATTACATGAAATAGATCATATAAGAGCTAAATGTTATAATAGTCGTGAATTGCAAAACTTATATACTTTAAAGTAAAGCGATACTTAAATTTTTATACTTCAACAATTTATAAATTAGACAATTATTCTATGTACTTATTCGCTGTTCATAATTGATTTTAATTCAATTTTGATCTAACAAAAGCAATGATAGGATGTCGTTTGTAAGATAAATGTGAGAGATTCCATGGTACTCCGAAAGAGCGTAAAAATTTTCAAAAATGTTGAAGATCTCGCATTACGTTAATATTTTCATTTCATTTTGATCTCGCAATACGATAACATTTTAATTATTTTATGATCTCTATTGAGAATTCACTTTTAACCCGTTTTCATACTAACTACAAAACGCCTAAGTCTTTACATAGTAGACATAGCTGTTAGCGGAGAAATTTTGCATTGAAATTATTAAGTAAAAGAATACGATAACTAAAAAATTATCAATGAAATATTTTTCATTTCACGAATCGAAATTCAATTTTATAATAACTCTGGTGGCTATTTTAAATTTTTAATATTTTAAAAGAACAGGTTTTAAAAATTTTTTAAAGAAGTTTTCTAAGAAAAATCTTTGTTTCTTAATTGCCTTAAGATTTTTTTCTTTTGTATTTCGTTATTTTCTGACGTATTTTTTGGCTTTTTTGTATTTTTTTTTCCAAGATTCGAGAAAAGAACCACTTATGAAAAGGGAAATGTGCTAAGATTTACGCTTATATTGAATAAAATATCAAATAAAATTACTGTTTTCCTTACCATTTAAATATGTTGCTGTATGAATTCCGAGTTCTACTTACATAAAATTTCTAATCTAATGCATATACAAAACACCGACATTGCTATTTGATATTGTAAATCTGTTTTGTAGTAGCCATTATAGAATAGATTACCAATGGAAAAGTTAAAATACATAAAATATTCCCAAGGAAGTTATTTAAAATTCTGCAGAGTATTTCTTTTTTTTCCTATTCTTTCACGAAAATTGTTCTAATGATGGCCATTTTCATCGGGCAGTGCAAAACGAAAAAAAAAAAAATAAACGAATTTTTAAAAAAGGTAAAAAATCTCATAAAACGAAAATTCTTCAATTATGGTCAGGTCTTTTTTTTTTGTGTTATTTGCCTTTTAACATTTTGTCGGCTAAATAATAATGACATTTCAAAACAAACACAACATTAGGCTTACAATGTGTATAACGGTAGAATTTTTTATTATTTAATACAAAAAAAATAACAATAACATTAATATAAAAGATTCTAACAATTTTTTCTTTTGGTGTATTTTGTAATTATAATTCCAATTCACCATCATTTTGATTGTTTTGACGTACGAATGTATGGTGAATTCTAATTTACGGAAGTTTTTTTACGATGCGACTTTTTTTTAATTTCATATCATTAATCAGTATACAATACTTACAATACATGTCTTGAATGACGAAATTATGTAGGTATCATATGTCAAGAATGTTTTGTTTATTGTTTTTTATACCTACATAATTTATTTTAAATTTAAATTTATTACACTTTTGTTTACAATATTTGTGTTTACATATTTAATCAGTATTTTATTGAAGAATACCTGTACCAAATAATGTTCTACATTTCCTTGTGAAATATATTTGACATTAAAGTTAAAATTATAAAATTAAAACTGTCAAAATAAAGTTGAAAATAAATTTGATGTCATAGCATTCAAATTTTTTGTAATTGTGATAATTAGCCTAATTAAGCAGTAATTATAATGATATATGCATATAGTTATGTATAACTTATAAGCATGTTATGTATAACAGTTACACAGTTATGTATAACAGTTGTTTATGTTTATTTTAAGTCAATTTGGTTCTCGAAAATTGGACGAAAGGCATTGTCGTCATTTGCTTCCTTAAATTCGTCATAATTCCCATTTTATCATATTATGGAGGTCAGCCTGTCACAATGTGGTTTTCAATTTCCATATCATTATCTCTTATATAAAAATTTAAAAACTTATTAATGATTATAATTTGTAGAATATTTTTTAGAAACTTAAAAATAGCTCTTATTTTTTATTGATTTTTTTCCCAATAATATTTATTAACCACTTGTTTTTTTTTTATGTTTTCAGGGTGTTGTCGCTATTATTTCGATGGTGAGTTTAAATTTTATTAACACCAGCAAAATTAAATTAATAATTTCTCATAAGTTAAAAAATAAATATGAAAATTGAATTTTACACTTCAAATTAAATTCAAAATCATATTTATAATAGCTAATTACATAAATAGACAATTTTCAGAATAAATTCCGCAGAATAATTTTCCAAATTTTCAGAATAAACCATAATTCTAAAAATAGTAACTTTAAAATTGCAGTAATAAAGGGTTTTTACAAAATTCGGCTTGTATACATTGTTGAATTGTGTAGCATAGGATGATTGGTTTGAAAATTTTTAAGACCCGAGCATTTGATTTTTTTTTCGTCCATAGGGGAGCGAGACCCTTAAGCCCTTCTTACTTCCTACATTAGAACTATATCTAGGGCCCTGACATTTCAGTATAGTAGCCGCCTCAAGCCGTGAGACAAAGTTGTCACAAAGTCCCTTCTGATCTTCATCTCAGTTGTTAGCAATCCACCGCCTCCCATTCGCACAATAAATGCTTTATTGTTTCGTCCTTTTCCAAGTAGACATGGCAGACTTCGCCATATTTTTTAGATGGACCATAGATTGGTAGTCGATGACGATTCATGATTTTGATAGCTTTTCAAAGTAAAACTCTTAACATTTCTTTATACTCAATTATAAAGAATCTTTATACTCAATTACTGTTTTAAAAACTCAATTATTTTCCTTAAACCTTGAACTTAATAAGCTCACATATTAAAAACTATTCTTTAGCTAAATTTTAATTAAATTTTTGCTATTCTAAAATAGAGAATTAGATAGAAAAATCTCAAATTTCAATAAATATAATTGAACTTTTATTCTGTGATTCTGGACCCTCTTTTATTTTAATAAAATAAATTAACTTAAAAACTTTTTATTTACTGTAATAAAATCTTTGTGATAAATTTTAGATTCAAGGTTTTTTTCCAAATTTATGCGATTTTTCTCATTACTATTATTTTTTCGTATTATTATGATTGTGCCTATGTTAAAAAAATACTGAAACGCTAAAAAATTATCATGACATGTGAGTTGATTTTTGGTTAGAAATAACATGCATTCATTCATTTTATAGACAAAATCACATTCTATTTAGAGAATGTGTAGACGATTTGGTATTTAAGTACATTTTTATTAAAAATCATTAAAGAAGATTTTTTTGTATTAAAGATTTTAGCATTTATTTTTGTTTTTTAAGTTTAAAATCAAAGAGACGAGGCATAAACGCCTCTAAGAAAAAATAATCGTTCATTGTTTTGATTTTATGGATTAATTGACAGGTTTTTGGTGTATTTTCAATTGTGGTATTTTTACTTGTGTGTATATATAGATATGTGTAGTTAATCATGATCATTTTGTGACGATTATTTTTTTTTAACAAGTTTAGGTGGTGTTTAAACAATTTAAGCATGATATAGCAATGATGAATGGTGATATTGCAGTTTTTTTTTTTCATTAAATGTGGTAAGGAAGAATTATTGCGGTTTAAATCCAATGTTAATTGCTCATGAAAAGTTACTTCAGCGCAAATAGAATTTTTGGATTTTTATTTATTAGCAAATTTCCAACAACATTAGAAAAAAAATGTGCTGATTAGTTTCATTTTGTGTGCCTGATGTTTTACTCATCTGTGTGTTTGTTTGCAAAACTTGTACTACCCTTTAATGTAGAAATTTTGAGCAACTGAAGTTTTATATAAAATTTTTGTGAGAAGCATTGTTACATATATTTCTCTCTCTAAGAAATTTATCCGAAAATTTATCCGAAAATTCCTTAAAATCCCATTCTCTGATAATTCATTGTGTCGAAATCATCAACTACTTTCATAAAAATTTTAAATATCATAAAACTTTTTGAAAAAAATTATTGCACCATTACTTTCTCACTATATCAGAAAATAGCGGTCTGCCTCTTATATCGTAAAACAGCATAGAAAATCATTATAATACGAATATAATTTTTGAATTTTTTGAAGTTATTTTTTCCAGCAGTTACTCGCGAAAAGCTATTTGCCACTCAAAATTAACACAATTTGAATTTTCGGCTCCTTATTTATTTCTCGAAAGTTTCCATAAGAGCAAATAGCCCTAAGTCTTATTATCTAATTTGTCGTCAAATTCGACCGTTGTGCTAACGCTTCCTTTATTTTATGTTTTCGTCCTAAAAGTATGCAATCATTTTTTATTGTAAAATAAATTTTTTTTAGTAAAATTATGAGAATAATTCGGGTAAAAGTTTGGTTTTTTTTTAACAAAATATTTTCAATTTTTCAAGGGAAATGTACTACTTCATAAACTTTTGGTTTCGTTCGAATTTAGTTATTTATAAATAGAAACCTTTTATTTTAAGTGGTTTCTTATAGCATTTTGATTTGTTTTATTTAATATTGAATTGTTATTAAGCTTGAAAAAATATGTTTTGTATTATAAAAAACAAAAAAAAAACCGTGTTATGAACAAAAGTTTATTTTGGCTCTTAAAAGCACGTTTCAATTGAATTTTCATGTGTATAAAATTTTTCGGCAGGGTCGTTTATTTTATTGCATAATATCGTATATAAAATGTACAAAAAATTGAAAGAGATACCCGAAAAATTATAAAGAATTTTTATATTTTTTTTTGTTGCAAGTGCGAATATAATGAAATTTGTTTTTTATTGTTTTGGGTTCCAGTTGCTATTTTATATTTTATATTTGAAATGCTTGTTAGATTTATTGTATATCTATATAGTATTTTGAAGAGTTAAGAATTTTTTATACTTCTCACTTTTTGATATGAAAATCAAATCATGTGTTAATCAGTTAATTTTTCCAATATCAACACTAAAACAATTTAGAATAACATTTTTTCCCAAATCTTATTCAACTATAAATATTAAATATTTTTTGTAAGAAAATTTAATTTATAATGCTTTGGTATTTAATTTAATTTTGACCTTTAATATCATACCCACATCAATTTTGAATTTTTGAAATTCTTTGAATACTTATTGTTAAAATATTTTAGTAATGATCAAAAAATTTTTTTATAAATCTCAATTAATTCAAACTCAAAATTCTGTGAATTGTCTGCAATTTCAAAAAAATCTAACTGTTAGTTTTGGAAACTGGAATTATTCGGCGTAATAACGAATTTTGTATTTCTTCATCTTTATAAAAATGAAACAACGTATCCATAGATCAATAACTCAACGCTACCAAAACAATTTTGTCACTTAAATTTTTGGGGTGTAATCAGTTGTCAGCGATTAAGATTTTACTATACGGCCCGATTTTATATGTTTGATCATAGGAACTTACAGACTAAATGACGGAATTTTTTGATTTGAGTTTTAATTGTTGACAAATTTAACTGGAAAATTTTGCAGAGAAATCGAATTAAGGAAATTAAACCTCTAAGAACCAAAATTTATATTTTTCTAAATCCATTAACTAAAGTTAAATGAATTAATCGGAAAATATTTAAAGGAAAGTTTAATAATCTTACACAACACTTTAATAATGCTCACGGTTATGTGCTTTTCATATTAAGTTTTTCTAATATACATAATTCCCTTTTGCATTCAACTATGAATAATAAAATTATTATTACATAATCATATCCAACTTATATAATAAATTTTGTTTTTGCATACTACATACTTATAAAACCATAAATAAACAAAAATTTTATGTATAACAATTAAAATTTTCTCAAAGAAAAACCGAAAAAAAAAATTTATCTAAAATATGAAAATCTAAATTTGGTTAAACAATTGGTCTCCTGATATAATTTTCCAAATTTATTTTTTTTTTTCTTATTATTTCGAAAATTTCCTTATATTACCATTTTTATGAATTTTTTAATTGATTTTAGAATTTACTTATACAAATGCACATGCATTTATTACCGACCGTATTGTGTAAACAATAGGTAGGTTATGTGATGGCAACAAATTTTGCATATCGAGTTTTCGGTGGGAACGTACTTCTCCATAGTAGGGAAGTGTAAATAAACTATTTTTAGCAACCTGTCGGTCTGTCGGTCTGTCGGTCTGTCGATCTGTCGGTCTGTCCGTCTGTCGGTCTGTCGGTCTGTCGGTCTGTCGGTCTGTGTGTGCACGCGTGTATCTCAAGTTCGGCTAAACCGATTTTGATGAAATTTTATATGTAAGTTTGTTTCCACCATGGCACGGATCGATCAACTTTTGGTATATATCAGGCCTCGGGAACTGCACTTTTTAGCGGGCCTGTTTTACATTTTTGAACATTTTGAAGAAAATATTCAACCGATTTACTTGAAATTTTATATATAAGCTCAGCTCGACCGTCCGCAAAAATTCGTATGTTTTGGAAGAAATCAGGCATCGGCAACTAGACGTTTACTACGGGCCAAATATACATTTTTGTGTATATAAAGAGAAGTAATCAACCGATTTCATTGAAATTCAATATATGAATTCCCCGTATTAAAACAATGAACATGTAAATTTTTTGGAAAGATCAGGCATCGGCAACTAGACGTTTACTACGGGCCAAACATACACTTTTGTGTATATAAAGAGAAATAATCAACCGATTTCATTGAAATTTAATATATGAATTCCTCATATTAAAGCAATGAACATATAACTTTTTTGGAAAGATCAGGCCTCGAGAACTGATTTGCGGGTCGATTTTACATTTTTCACCATATCCACAGAACAAATTGATGGAATTTCTTGAAATTTGATATTTGAGTTCTGGTTGTTAGCGAAACTAACTGGCGAGCATTTCAGGGAATTCGGGTAGCACAAAGCGAAACTCTACTAAGAGCCAAATTTACATTTTTCTAAGTATGTTAACTATAAGCTTACTAATGTCCTAAAAATTGGAAAGAAGTATTTAACAGACATTTTTATAACATTCTGTAACACTTTCATTTAACTAGACAATACAAAATGCGGTCGGTTATGTGCTGACCACATCAGATTTTTTTTTTTTGTAACCCGCAAGTCCCTGCAATAAT